TGAGATGAAGATGAAATACAAATTCAAATTTTAGCATCAACTCAAATAAGATACAAGCGTCACCTCTAGTTTTGGTGCTTGTGGTGTCCGTAGCAATCAACTCAACAACTTCAACTATGGTTGAAAACATAATAATCAAGTTAATCAAAGAATTGTAGTGAGAGACCCAACGTGTATCACCTGGACGCCAAAGAGATGTTTCTTGATTAAGACCTCGACCAGTTGATAATTCACCAACACTGAGCGGTTCATGAACTTTCAGCCTTTGGCTCTCTCGAATAAGGTTGGCTCGTTTAGCCTATCCACCAACAACATTAACCAACTTGAGTACTGTCGTGAAGAAAGTTTCAATTTTTAGATGTTTCTGGGCTGTAGCTACAAGAGCTAATTTCAATTGACGCGCAAGACAACGAATATAATAGGCATTGGGGTTCTCTTTCAAGATAAGTGCTTTTAGGCCATTGTACTCACCTCGCATGTTACTAGCTCTGTCGTACCCTTGACCTCTCAAACTAGATATACTCAAGCTGTGTGTTGAGAATAATTGGTCAATTGCTGCCTTAAGTGAGAGGGGCAGTGGTACTGGAAATATGATGGATACCAAAAAAATGTTCGAAAACATGACCATCCTTCACTTAACGAATCACAACCGACATTTGCTCCTTAACTGAAATGTCTCGGCATTCATCAACCAAGATTGAAAATAAATTATTACGAACATCTTTCATGATCACGTCTAGACATTCAGAAGCAATCACACTGGCAATATCCTTTTGCACCCATGGTGATGTTAACTTGAGATTTTCAGGAGCATTCGTTAAAGCAACATCCCTAATCTCATGGTTATGATTACACAACCAATGCAATAGTTTAAGAAATTTCCCCGATTGTCGAGAGTTCAGATTCATCATGTCCATGAATGCCATGCTCTGACCGACAAATATTTGACCAAATGGATCAATATTGGTATGATTGACAAAAGTCTAACGGACTAGGCTAATGCACTTCAAAAAAAAAAAAAAATGGGTCGTTGAACTGGACTCCAACTTCGCATAAGCAACGGATATACTTCATCCCAAGCTTGAGTTACTTTTCATGTGCTTATGGGGAAACAATTTGATGTAGGTTCGGTCACCTTTAATGCGATTGTCTCTTTTCTTGGTGTCTCGAAACTCCACAACCTGCTGTCCTTTCCTTGTGTCATCCATGGAACTTTGTCTGCGGCTGGAGTCAAGATCGACCCTCGCGTGGGCAATGTACTTGCACCTCCTTCCAAGGCTCTTGCACTCGTCTCCAGAAGAAATTTGCCAAGAATTTTTTGTCGGTACATGTATCTAATGTTTCTCTGCACCTTGAGAAGTTTATTCTTCAACAACTTGATGTTCTTGGAGGATGGGGAAAGGAAGTTGCTTATCAGAGGCAATATTATAAAGAGGTGTTTGGTGCCCTAAGGCTACTCCCTTTGCTCCAAAATCGAAAAAATGGGGAAAAAACTGAGGTCAAACGGAAGGGAAGGCGAAGGCAATTTAGCTTGAGTAGAAGAATCCGAGAATGAAGAGGACACATAGGTTAAGGATGAGGATGCTAGTTCAACGTCTAAAGTAGAAGAAGATGTAGATGTTGGTCCTGACTCAGAAGAATCTGGATGATCTCTCTATTTGATGTGTTATTGTGCCTGTGTTAAATAATAATTTATGATGTGTGCATTGATTGGTTGTCGGTTCTGTTGGTTGGTGCTGAACACCATTTTTCTGTTTCATTTTGGCATGCGAAGTGTGATGATGAACACTTAGTTTTATTTTGATGGGCATATTAGTTTATATTTCATATGTGCTTTATGTAGGTTCATCTCTGAAAGTTGTTCTTTTGAATAACATTTTTTTTAATGTTGTTTATTTCGCATTACCTCTATTGCTTCAATGTTGTTTAACTTATGCAGGTTCATGTCAAAAAGGGGTTTTCGATTTATATGCCAAAGAAAGAGATTGTAAATGTGTATTTCGGCATTAAAACAAAAAATTCCAAATTCTTAAGTCAATTTTACGAAGGTAATTACGAGAAGTCCAAGGGAAGCTGTCTTGATATTATTCCCGTTTTAATTATAACTAATTAGATAATTTAGACTTATGATTCATTTATTTTGCTGTATGGTAAGTCAGTGATTGAAGTTAGTGTTCATGTGTGATTTTACACCATATTCATATAGTATCTAGAGCTTATTTGTCGCATCATCGGTGTATAAATTGCATATTTGTGCTTTAATTCTATATTTGTTGGAAAGGTATTACACGTGCTTGTTTTGTAGATATTTTTACATATTTGTAGAGCTTTTGGCTATTGGAGGTGCATGGTGAGTACCTAAGATCCCCGGAATGATGAAAGATTGATGCACGGATGAAAAAAAATGGAAGAAACGAGGGAAACAAGTGAAGAATAAAGTGCAGATTTGTGACACGGGCAGTGACACGGGCATCATGCCCGTGTCAGAGGCCATGTCACCTCAGCAGAAGGATTTCGAAGCCAGGTACCTGACACGACCCGTGATTCGGGCGTGTCTGGTCGTGTCGCACACGCGGGCAGCTTTTAATCCCTTGCCTTTTTGGATAAGGAAAAGAGTTTTGGACATTATAAAAGGCATATTAACCCTATTCTGAAGGGAAGAAAGTAAAGAACACAAGGAGAAGGGCTTGGAACACAAAAGAAAGGCAATTGGGAAGAAGAGAAGATCAACCACAAGATTTCTAGTTTTTCTTTCTCTCTTTTGAACTTATTTTTTTCTCATGATGATTTCTAATATGTCTATGTATTTGAATTCAAACATGAGTAGCTAAATTTCCTTGATTCTAAGACCTGGTAGTAGATTAATAGTTTGGGATTTTTGGATGATTTATCATAGTTGATTGTTTTCTTTTGAACCCTATTCAAATATTTTGTTCTTATTTCATGAATTGCAATTGGCCACTGCTTTTACATGTTTGATGATATTGTTCATAATTCGAGAGATGAGTTCAATATTAGATCTTTAATATTTGACTCAATTTATTTGCTTGAATCGAGAGATTAGTAGATAGTTGTGAGGATTTTTGGAGTTGAATTGCATGTGTTGAGTGGAGACGCTAATATATGTGATTTAATCTACGGTTTTATCGATCTTGAGAAGGACGATAGGCTAATTTTGTGATCATCTTATAGGGTAGATAAAGAAAATAGTTAGTTGTAATATATTTGAAGGAATCCAACTGTTAATTGAACCCATAATCTTAGAATCTACCATTCCCATATATTCTTCTTATGTGTTTTTCTAGTTGTTTTCTTGTTATTGATTTCTTATCTTTTGAATTATTTTCTTAGTTTAGTTAATCAACTCAATTACGGTCGTCTAAATAAAGTTGACACTATCATAATCTTGTACTTGATATATTAATTATTTGGTCTCTTAGGATACGACCTTGCTTGCCACATACTACGAGCGAAGCCGTACACTTGCGGTCGAGCTTTAAAAATATAGGCGAACAGTTAGACAATGATCTAAATTGGACTTACCATCTATGAAGGAAGAGATGACTTGTTGTGCAAAACGAACATATATGCGGATTAATGAACTCACTATATGAAGGATCGAGATACGGAAGGAGATATAAGGAATCTAGACGCAAAATGAATGGTGACTATTTATGGGAAGCAGCTGAAGAACGAATTTACATATGCACTGAGAATAAAGTGCTGCACACACTAAGTCGAAAAAAAAAAGTTGAATAGTCCTTGAGTAGGGTGTTCGCGGGAGAAAAGAAGTGTACGAGTATTTTCTACTTAATTTTTAATTTATTTTTGAGTGATTATTCAAATTATATAATGATATTTGGTTTAAATTATACACTTTTTTCTATCTTTCAAGGTGCTTGAGACGAGCATCTTTCGAGTGCTCGGAGTGATCCATGTTGAGTTTAAATCCACGATGTGTGGCCGAAAATAGTAGTTAAATAAGTATATACGACGTACGTTAGGAAGATGTATCTTTCCTATAAATTCTAGTTGTACTGGCCGGGCCGAACACTTATTTAAATGAAATACTTATGAAAGAGTAGGATGCTCTCCTGTTCATATTTTGTATGAATTGCTTCCGCAACTAAGTATACGTTCATTATTTACTGATTAAGTATAATTATGTTTCTCTCAAAATTTCATCAAGTACTCGTCAAAGGAACCCACAACTCATTATTTAAAAAAATTGATCAGAGTTCAATGAGCCCGTTTGCATTTCTCCATAAGATTAGCAGTGCCACTCTACGGATCATTTCATTCCAGTAAGGACATACATTCATACAAAACTTCTACTTCGACAAGCATACACAATAGAACTCTAGGCAGTCAAGTGAATCTAATCCCCTGAATAATATGATCCATGAATATTATTAGGATGTAAACTTCATCATATCATTGGAATAATTGAGCTGGAAATTCAACGGTCGACACAATGAGAAAAGCTCGAGCGGGTATGAATCAACTGTTTCGGACAAGACAATCAGTTTTCGGACAAGAAAATTCATTATTCACTAAAATAGTTACCAAACTAACAGTTGTCTCTCTTATGTTATCAAATAACTGCATCATCAAATAGACCGCCTACTTGCATTTCTTGATAAGACATTAATGAAATTCAGAAATACAATTAAAAAAGTAAAAATAATACGCTATCAATGTAAAAACAAGAAATTTCATTCAAATTTCAAGACTTGATAATCCTGCATCCCAACTCATTATTGTCATGTTAACTTACCCAGGGATAGAGTTGATTAACTTAATCAAAATTATTTGTCAGTTCCATTAAAAACACTGTATGCTAATTCCCGACTATGTCGAAGAAATTTATTTAATATGTACATCATATTCTATTCTAAGAAACAGAAATGCCAATAGCACTCACTTTTCACCACAGCTGTTCAGTCTCCTGCATAAGCTTTTCCTTCCCCGAAATAGGAGGGCCATTTGATCCATGATCATCAACCTTTCGTGAAGCAACTGCACTTTGCTTGATTATCTGAAAGCATCTGAAAAATTCAAAGCATATAGAACAAAAATCAGTACGTGTTATATAAATTAATAAGCAGCTGTAGTGCAAGCACTTGGTTATTATTACCTTTACTTGTTGTTGGAGATCCTTAATGTAATCAACAGCCAAATCCAACATATCAGCTGTATTTGTTTGCTGCAAAATCAAGTGACAAAAGAGCCAAACGCTAATCTTTCTATTTTCATTTTCAAAATACGAAAACCGGTAGAGTAGAAAAAGCAGTAGCTACCTTTACCATATTTGGCACAAGGTCTTGTAACTTCCTGATTCGCTCGCTGATTTTAGTTCTTCTCACCTGAAAGAATCACATCAACAAGGAACTGTCATCGAATTCATAATGAATGAACAACTGAACGCGAAAAATATAAGAAGGCATTTCATTTCTAATGATTATTGCCAAACGAAGAAGTATAATTTGGCTGAGGTGTGTTTTTCCCGAGAAATTTATTTTTACCCTTTCAGCAATGCTTCTAGGATGAGTAGCAAAACCCCTTTTCGCTCTTAGCTTACATGGCACTGAATCCTGCAACAGCTTTTCCATTGCAGCCGAATTTGTGGGCAAACTTAGGTGATGAGCCAATCTAGTCGGGGCCTGATTTTCATCTAAGTTTTTCTGTTTCATGAAAAATCATCATAGTTCATTATAAGATTCAAGTTAGCCCACATATATTAAATAATTTAGAGAACTAAATAAGTTGTTAAGTACTAAAAATCCTTTTGCAATTCAGTCATATCATTTAAAGAAAAAAATCACTAAACTGTCTCGCAAAATTACAAATGCCCTCTTAGACCCTCCTTCTGGGAATTCCCCAAAAAATTAGAAAAACCTCAAGCAAAAAGAGGTTGCATTTCTGAAGGAGAACGCACTTTTTCTGTATTTAGGTTAAACCTTAGGGATAAGCAAACAAAACCTGATCTTCCAAGGCATTTTCTTTTGAGAAAGTTCCCTCGACGTCCTCCACTAGTCCTTTCAAGAAATCATCCGACAGGATAGAGTCATCCCACTGGTTTAAAGGGAAACCAGGGGCTTCTTTGTCAAACTGCGCGTCATTTGACCTGTTTTCACCAATGTCTTTATTCCTGAAACCAGAAAAAGGAGACCTCTTTGCTGAGGAAGATGGGGTTCTCGGGGGCAAATCACGTTGGCCCTTAAACCTGCTTGTAGAAGAAAACGACCCTTCTTTATTAGCAATATTACCGGCTCCAACATTCCCCATGATGCCTCTCATTGCACCAAGTTCTGTGGATCATTTTTAGCATCGTGTTTAAAAATATTGTTTTCAAATTATGGAAATGAAAATAGGGCCAAAAAAAAATAATACTTCAAATAAATGATATGATGCAAGAAAAAATTGGCGACTATCCATTGCCACGAAGTCGGTTCTAAGCAACTACTCAATACCCCAAGTTGGCTTACAAAATCGATGATCAAGTATGTTTCTGGTTTGGTTTCAAAGTTAATGATCAACTATATAATCCAGTTAGATGGAATGGATAAGTGATTCATAGTAGCATTAGGCAATAGTTGAGAACCACGAGTTGCTACTGTTATGAAGTTGTAAAAATGTGCTCATTTTTCTAAGTCATGTTAGAAGACAATTGAAAACTTTATGCTTCATATTTAAGAGTATATTAACTGACATAAGAAAACCCAAGTTGACATTTGAAAAAATAAGTACTAATAATACTTCTTTCTCTCCAGGCCACAAACTCCCAACTGAAATTCACCTTTTTTCAGTGCGTGCAAGTTGAACTAATTTATCACTATTATGGATTCATTAAAAGTGTGGAGGGTAGAATTATCCAAATAAATTAAGCACCCTTTTTGCAGAAAGCAACTAACTTCAAAACCATATGTTTTCCTACTTTCTGTACATTTATAAGGTACCGAAATGCAACTTAAATAACGAATCGTTAACAAAATCAAGTACACAGACTCGCGAGAAGAACGACCGAAGAAGATCAACCAACACAACAACATGAGAGCCAACACAAGACCCTGACTGAGAGTTAGATCATTCCACATTTGCATATCCGCACGAACAACTAATCATACTATATAGAGACTGTACAGATAAAAGACTTAAAAGGGAAAACAAATCTAAGCAAAAAAAAAATTATCCATAAATAGCAAACATGAAACAAATTGTATACTGTATGCTCAATAATTGGTCGACATCAGCTTGAAAGATGGCCCCGCCCAAGAATCAAGTCCATCTGTCTATATGGTGAAAAGTCAGAAAAAAGATATAAATAAAAATAAAAATAAACAGGTACCACCTTCAATATTTATGTTGTCAAACAGTCCAGCAGGCGAGCTGCTATGGCGAACGAGGCTATGGGTCTCCATCTTCACCTGCACAGGCCGATTTGGACTGATTGGGAGCACAGATCCAGCAGCAGAGCTCGCGACGCCGGAATCCTCCGCCGTGTGGCCCCAATTCACTGCCTTAGAAACGGAGGAAAAATCATGGGTATGATGATGCCTCTGCAATGGCGGCGGCCGGGGTCGTTTAGCATCCGGGTGGTCAACATCACCGCCCCCACCATCATCCCTTTTCTTCTGAGCCGGCGTCTGGGGAGGATTCATACTGTCACCGCTGCTCATGAACCTGGCGAAAATCCTCTGTGCCTCGGGACTGCAAATGCGAGGGTTCAGAAGCTGCTCGAAATCATCGTCGCTGTTGAGAAAGGTGTCGAAGTAGGAGCTGGGCGCCGAGCGGTAGCGGGTCAATCCGGAGCCAATCGACATGTTCTGCTGGAGGAATTGGGGGAAATCTGACAGAGAAGCTAGCTGCCTGTTCAAGATTAAACAAAAAAAAAAAAAAA